GGATTTAAATATGTTATGCCGGACGCGTGTTTCGTCTACAAAAGACTCATCAGTGACGCTTGAATAAAAAAATTAAAAAGGCCAAATAAATAGAAAAATTTGAAGAGAATTGAGGAACCAAAATTCCGAAATGTTTTACCAAGTCACTGCTTAGGTAATATATACCTAGGGTAGAAAGTCATTGGTATTTCCTAAAATTCAATGTTTTGTAAACAGTAGATTTATAAATATGATCATATCTATTCAATGATAATTCATTTCAACACAGAAGTGCTGACTATATTGGGAAGTGTCGTCTTTTCCGAAATGTAACTGTCTAACTGTTTATTCAAAATACACACTCAGACGCAGATTTCCTGCGTAACAGGAGCGACAAATACACATAAATTTACAAATAACATAGAAGCGAAATGAGTAGAATACATAAAATAAAACAGTATAAATATATTTTTTTTACAAAACTAAATGTATACTACATCTATTGACCAGATGACAAAAAGTCCGTGCAATCTGTAAAGTTTAAATAACCACGTGATCACATGAACACAATAAAATTATAATGGATAGTTACAAAAAGTGTATCATATATAAATATATTCATATGTGATGATTTACAGAGAAAGCAGTAGTTTTTCAACCTTTTGAATGAAAATAGAAAGGTTAGTTAATACATTTAAGTTGCAATATTTCAACATTCCATAAAGTTTGTTGATATTTGGTTTGATTCTGTAGTAATTAGGAATATATGCATTTCTTACTTCAATAACATCATCATTGTTACAAAGCGCTATGTAATGATATTCATCTCCAAGACCAGTCTTACAAAGCTTACATTTTCTTTCAATTTCTGGAATTCTATTCCATCTCCCCGTTTCGATTGGAAATTTGATGTTGCAAGTGCGAAGTTTGCAAATATAAAGTCTACTTAATTTTCTAAGTCTAATTAGATAGGGTTCCATACAGAAGTCAATCTTAAATTTTGAATAGAACTTCCCCCTTGATGAGTTATCGATATCCGAAAACCATTTTTGTATGAACTGGTCATGGAGTCTTTGTTTAACGTAAATTTTTAAAAAATTCAAATTAACGTGTCCTTGTACATGCCAGATTTCACTGTTACCAGTTTCATCAAAAACAGATTTTACATAATTAATCCACTTAAAAGAATTATTTCCATTTTCAAATAAATTAAACATAAACTTGTAGAGTTTTCCAGACAGTTTATCATCATTTGTTACAAGTTTGTACCAGAAATAAATCATTTTCATCTTGCTACTAATTTCGATAGGAAATCGGCCAAGTTCACCATAGACCATGAAATTTGCGGTCAATGACCTAACCCCCAGAATTTCTTTCAAATACAAACTTCAATGTCCTTATAGGCAAAATTTAACAACAGCATGTACAATATAATTATAATAAATATATAATTGCAGTCGAGGAACAAAAATACATATAAAATGCGACTGCGTAGTTTCATATTGAATTTAGAAATTTTTTTCTTACCCTTTATTTTTATCCGAACCACACGGACTAACATATATGTCCATTGATTTTGCTCTCCTCCAATATCGCCATCCCGAGAACTCGGCGGAACTCGCAATTATCAAAGACATAAAAATTATCGAGAGATACATTATTTCTTTATGCTGAATTATGTTTGTTTTCGAAAACCATCAAGTATATTTATATATTTATATATAAGCATGTAATGCAGTATGGTTTTATCATTTGACGGGGAGGAGCGATACGATATGTATAATATCCGCAGGTATTTTCAAAAATATAGCCTTCAAACATATATAAGTACTTTGTATTTGATAATAAGATGGTATCTATTGCTGGAGAACGTAATCAAAGTTAAATTGCTTTATTTTGAAATTTTACCGTATGTCATCTGCTGGTCAAGTTTCTATATAACTCCTCGAGCTCTGTACTCTTATCTATACATACCATATTTATTTTCATTATATAACTGAACTATAGTTATTGAATGAAATTGACTATTTTCGTTTGTATGCAGGTGTTACACTGCGTAAATCAAAAGTTGAGTTTATGACAATTTATGAAAATTTTTGCAAATTCCTAATTATGAATAATCATGATGATCTAAGGCAGAAAATGAGAAAAAAATACAATTTCGAACATTTTAAATGCTTCAGTAAAATATGTTTGTTTTTTTTTTTATCAAATTTGAGAAGGATAACAATTTTTGAACAATTTGTATTTGTAGAAACTAACAGAATCCATGTAAAGTGGCCTGAACACAGTTAAGGGGCATTTCAGCAATTATTTGTTGTTTAATTATTTTGTGTTGTTTTTCTTTTTTAAGTTGGTTTATATGTTTGTACGTTCGTTAAGTTTTTGAATTTTTTCCCCTGTTTTGTTTTCGGCCGTCATTCGCTTTTCTGAAAACCCCATCCAGACCCTCATACATTCCTGCATATACTCGTGGACGTTTGATCTGGAACGTCATATTTATGTTGAATGATATCGTGTGGTATATCGTCAATGGGAGAGTGATACAACTATCCCCGTTTAATCCCTATCAGTTGAACAGCAAAAATGTGCATATTTCTGTGGCGGAGTGTTCAACTGTTGTCTCATTGGCATTCATACCACATCTTCTTATTCTTCTATAAAAGAATGTATCATATGAATCAGTACGTATAAAAGTCCTTTACTCTAGACTATAGTGGACAAATTCCTCGATCAAATTACAGTAGAAAAATCAATTAGTCATTAATAAGATGTGGAAATCAGATTATCCAAATAACCAAAGTGCCTGAGATAATCCCAGTGTGTGGTATAATTGACTTTTTTTCCAGTCTTTAGTTATCTAGTATGAAGTGTTTTGTGAACTTAATAATCTTTATCGTTGTTTCTTGTTTTTTGCAATGACGTTGCCAGTTATTCTCAGCTTTAAAGTTTTGAATGTTCCCTTGGTACCTCCGTTACCAATAGAAAACATACGAGTACTAAGTAAAAGTGTATCCTGATTGTCTGTTTAGTTGTTTATTCTCTATCAACACTGGTGTTGCCAATTTATTTTTGCGATATTTACTGCTACAATTTTTGCAATAATAACAACAGCGAAAACAAATTCTTAATTTACAGTTTGAAGCTCATATATATCTTGTTCTATATATCATTCTATGGAAATTATTTTATTTCTTGATGCCATTCATATGCTGTGGTCATGTTTTATCAAGAACGACAATGGCAGTTACTTAAAAAAAAAACTGTAAAAAATCGAGTACCTCTCAAACAAACTTCATCCTACCGAGTGAAAACAAATATCGAATGTTTAGTTTTCAATGACACCAATAAAAACCGGCCGCCACGATATTGCTTATAGTGTCGAAAGTGGCGTTAAACGCCAAAAATCAATCAATCAATCATTATTTGATGACCTCGCTAGTGCCAAACCCATTTATTTATAGTTCCCATGGCTTCTATACTATCCGATGAAAATAGCAACAAATGCTTTGTGCCTTTGCTTATGTTGTTTTGTAATCATTCATGTCTGGGTCTTAATCTAAAGGCAGCAAATACCAAAGTCTCTAGTGTGTCAGCCACGAGACCACCGAGCGTTTATTTTTTTCAAAATGAAGCAAATTACATAACCTTGATGAGGAATTAAATAAAAAAGATATAAATAGCACAACCGTCTAAGGCCAACTTTATCAGAGGGGTTGGAAACTAAGGTGTAATACTACATTTTGTATTTCATAAGTTACAGACTAGAGGCAGCAAGCACCATTTAATTAAGTCACGACAATACCAATGCATCGGTCACTGGACAGATGCTACACTAAAGGACTCAAGTCCACAGAAAGTGGTAAAGGTAACGACCTTGTGATACTTATATACACGTATGAATCAGTATACATGCACATTGGCCAATCAAAAGGAGGGTGTCTCTTTTTGTTTGTTGTTAGTTTGTTAGTTTTTGGGGTTTTTTTTTTTTGGTTTTTTTTTATTATTATTATGTAAATAGGCTATGTCACAGATTTTGATAAAAAAAATGCATTCAACATTGGCTCTTTGAACTATAAATGAAAATCGACAAATCGAATCTCCTTTATTTTCTGAAATATTATAAAATGAGTTAACTCAATTCAAATAGGTGTACCTTCGTGCTGAAAGAACATAAAATCGTCGAAAAGTGTTCTTGAATTGACTTACAATCCTTAAATCTTTAATTACAAATCCATAGGTTTTCTTTAAAAATTGTTATGTTGTTGATACATATATATGATCTGTATGACTGATATAAAATATTCATAGGATTACATTGCAGCTGAGGAAAATCGGTTCAGATTTACTTTTTATACATTTCCAAGTATACATTTCAAATTGATAAAAATAAATGTAGCAAGACAAATCCAGTTGTTCTATCTTTACAAAAATATGGAAATGTGGTATAATTGTCAATGAACCAACTATCATCCAGAGGCAATTGGCGTAGATTTTTATAATTACATGTACTAATATATGTTATTTGATACGGTTTTCAACAATTAGCCAATTAACTCCATACACATACGGTCATGGAAATTCATAGCCGATGTACGACAAAATATCAAACAAATCAACGACCAGCTGATTATTTTAAGAACAATGAAAGAAATCCAAACATAAGTCAAGCCTGAGAGTCAAGCCCACAAACATTCCCAACACTGTCAGTCTCTATCCCCACTGATCCCAAGTCCACCCTTATTTTTTATATATATATATATATATAGAGAGAGAGAGAGAGAGAGAGAGAGAGAGAGAGAGAGAGAGAGATTTAAGTTTGAAATGCACTAGAAAACCTTTAATTAAGTACATTTTTCTACAACCGGTTTCACAACTTTGGGATGATAATGGATAACGTTACTATTGACTTCATTTATATTATCATCCATTAATGTATTTTTAAAAAGTATTTTTAGTGCCTTCCGAACCTTTTTTTGTGTGGATGCAGATTTGATATATAAACTAACAGTAACAACATATTATTATTCAATTTTAATCGTGATGTCAACAAATATATTTTAACCTGCTGGCTTAGCTGAAGCCTGGTAACTTTTAACTTTTTTCTCCATTCTCTTAAGTTTTCTTGCTTTATTACATTCAACCAGAAGCTCACAAGAATTTACTCTGTAATAAATGTCGTGTGTCTCACGCTGAAGTTTCCCTACAAAATAGATACGTATACAGTTATACATGTATTTAGCAAAGCTTTCGATGACAAAGCCATCGCGAACGAAGTATGCTTATACTGTTACAGCGTACAGTATACCAAATTACCATCATATGCATGGGTCAGCCTTAAATGATGTACTGTACCTGTCTTTTTTTCCTGAAGTTATATATTAAGCAGGTATACGGATAACCTCTTCTATTTTTTTTTTTTTTTTTTTTGGTTTCCATAAAAGTCGATATATCGGTTAAAACTACAGGACTCAGTTAGCAGGGCCGTAACTAGGCCTCGGAAACAGACGAGTGAGGGGTTTTGCGGTCCGCCGACTGAGGCTCCCAAGTAATGGTAGGGACCAGGGCAAAGCCCACGACCGAAAATTGTAATATTAGGGTTCGAAATATATCTTGTTACATATATTTGTGTATCATGTTTACCGTTTTTGTTTCATATTTGCCGTAGGAAGAACTGCATTAGGCTATCAGAGCCGGCTGACAGATACTTGCCTTAAACTTTGTACAATCAAACATGTATCCATTTACAGAAGGGTACATGTTTGATTATAGAAAAAGCGGGACAAGTGTGTGTGGTCATGTAACGCTTCATTAAAAATAACATACATTTTCAATAACAGTTTAATAAAGCCCTAAGAGCGTAACATAGTCACTGTCTGTGAATGCTAATTCGACCTTTCTTGTGCCACTAAAATTCCATCGTTTGACTTCTTTCTTGAAATTGAATAATTAATTTATTTTGCTAATTTTATAAATGCATAACCCTCCAATCAATAATGATACAAATTTGATAAAGAGCCACCTTTATCATGTTTAATTGTGCGACCGTCTTTTTGCGCAAGCCCGACGTACTCCCACAATACTCCATTAAAATTCATAGTATCAATGAATCAAATTGTCAGTCTGCTAAAGGTCTTGTCCTGTTCATTTTACATTCGAATAGAATGATCACATAACCTGCTTATATAGCTGAAATAAAGCCCGCTTGACGTTAACCAAAACAAATCCTCCATCCATCCGAAAAATACATGTTTTGTTTTCGAATAGCAGCCAAGTTTGTAGTAAAACATTTGAAAACGCCTCAAATCTTCAGTCTCGAGTCTCGTTTAGACGTATGGCAGATGACTTATAATTGTGAATATGACCAGCACCACAAAACATTTCAAATTCTAAAATATTATATATCTTTGTCAAAAAACAAAATAAATGCGTTTTTCATTATTTACTTTAAGGTTATACCTACCCGATATCAGATAACATTTGTCAACTTCAAGACTTATCCCACAATGCATCTGAATAACAGGTGACAATAAAACGACTTGTTGACGATGAATACCATTTATATCTTTCACGTTGCTCTGAAAGTCAGAAACAAAAACTTTAATGAGGAAAATGACACTCTTTAAATGTGAGCGTCCGACGCGCTTTTCTAATTTACATTCATCAGGAACCCTAACACACAGAAATTTGAAAGCCGAAGGTATATAAACACTCCATTAAGTGAAGATGATATAACCAAAAAGAAACTGAAATTAATGGCCAAATCCATTTAAGAAAACTTTGCCGAAGGACTTCGAACCTAGTAAGTTTCTTAAATAATTTATATCATTTATCAACGGCTAGTTTCCAGAATTGTAAACTTGTAATAAATCTTGTGAGTACCGAAGCACTGACCTTTGGGTGGTTGATCATCCTATTTGATATATTGTTTTTAAAAGAAACAGATATATGGATATTTTTTTTTCTTCAAATATCAGTCCTTTTAAAATTGAACCTGTCATTCTAAATATCGCTTCTGTACTTCGTGTGAAAAAAAAAAGATGTGAGGTATGCATTTGTGTACATGTGTAAATCAACGAGACAAGAACTCTGATACTTGCGGGTCTGGGTGGGGTTTACATAATAGAGAATAATGGGAAATAAGTGCAGAATAAAGTGCACAAAACAATTCAGAAAAGAAAAAAGCCCAAACAAATAAAGAATATAGAATAATTATAGGTGCAAAAATATCTCGGTGTGTTCCGTGTTGTATTCGTTTTGCACGATTCAGTGTGATTGTCGGGCTAAATCATTACATTACAAAGTCATGTTTGATTTCTTTGCCAGATGTAGTTGATTGATGTTACGCCATGGTTTTGTTTTTCAATTCACAGTTGTTGATTGCTCATCAGTTTGCAAAAATTCCACTCAAACCGGTGCTAGTGTCCGTTTTAAACTTGCAGTTGATGAAAGCCTCATTGTGACTTTGAGATGAAGAACAGCAACAGAAGCGCTGATTCTTTGGTTTTTGGTTTTTGTGTTTTATGCTGTACATATACTGATTTTGTGTCATGGATGGACACCCCGTATCCTTCTTTTACTATTAGAATTGAGAATAATTGGCAAAACAAATAAAGAATAGAGAAAAATTATCTAAGAAATAAAAGAATAAAGAAATGAGGGACCCCCATCCAGACCCTCATACATTACACACTATAAAAATTCCATGCATTTTCTCGAAAAAGCCCTTTTAAGTTTTATATAGAAATAGAACGAAATGTACAAAAATGGACAAACACTATGTGCATTTAGCTCTTCAACTGTTTCAGTTCTTACAAAATGTATATACCCTTGGCTTTCAAGTTTTCGGTTTTAAGGATACCTGTGCTGGTCGACTATCAGTCCCCAAGGGTATCAAGCTCAATAGTCAATAATTCTGTACTGACATGATTTATAACAAACCTTTCTAAAATGTTACGTTTATACATCTTGAAATTATAAAGAAACTAAGGTTTTAACTCCCTCAGGCAAAGTTGACCTTAGATGGATTTGGCTATTTTTAGGCCCTTTTTTTGGTAATATAGCTCTTCAACTGTTTCGGTTCTTATACATCCTTCAAGTATTCGGCTTTGAGCGTTTCTGATGAAAGTAAATCCAGAAAAGCGCTTCCAACGCATGAAATTTTTAACGTATTGTTTTCATTTTTTTAATAGGTCGTAAAGAATTCGACAACGTCATGCAAAATAATTTTGAAAAAACGACGAAAAGACAAACAAGATACTTATAAAACACAGAAAACTAAAAACTAAGCAACACGAACCTTACGAAAATCTGGTGTTGCGAATGGGAAAACAGATCCTGCTTTCACATGGCATCCGTCATGTTGCCCGATCATGCGAAGAACACATTTGGTTATTATTCGCATTCACTAATGTCGCAATCGATTAAAAGAAAACACGTGGCTATGATAATTCGAACACATCCGTAGTCACATATGTTCTATATATATTACATTGAGGTGCGATACATTTGTAATACAGAGATATAAAGGTATAGTTTGTTGAATTTATATTGCTTGTTATAAGAATTTTTATTAACATATCTATCACGTGACATGGTAGGTTCCGTGAGACAATAAAAAAAATCAGAACTATAATCGAAGTCAATGCGAAACTCGATGTTTTAACAATTAAAATGAAATAAATTACTTATAATGCTTTCGTATTGAAAATTCAAACGATTGAAATACTCACTTTATAATCTTTTTCGATATCAAAATCAATATTCAATCCTGTAAACCATTCAGCAGAGCTCAGAACTTTTCCTTTGATTACTATTTAAATAGAAATAAAGAAAATAAAGGAACAGTAACTGCAAGTGCTCTTAACCCGGCATTTTGTGTCGTTTGTTTTTTTTTGTCTTTTTGTTAATTGACTTTTGTGCTTCGTGCCGACCTGATGAGTCAAGCCATTTCAAACTGATACGTTTTGGGTGTGTTTGGCTTTTCAGCATTTTGGTCCCAATCGTATCTAACAAACGTTCTACAAGTTGGAAAAAAGAGTTATCTCCCCATTCAGAATATTGTGTAGACTTTACACTTTCTTCAACTTTATCAATACATATGGACCGTATGGAGAGTATGTAGGTCTTATGACATAGTTTAAATATCACTTGTTAGTTCGATAAACTGAGACATTGTAGCTATCAATCAATTCTAACGTCCATCGGAATAACTTTTGAAACGACAATTTCTGCTCTTAATTTCCTTGTTTGAGTTATGGAAAATTTGTAACTTTTAATCAATTTGATAAAGAAAGCACATATTATTAATTGGTATAGTTAAATATGAGCAGTTAGGGCATATGGTATGAATACATTCAAGAATGGGAAGTTGACAATACAGAAAATTAAATCTTCAAGGTTGTCTTATTTTGCAGGTTTTTATTGTTACTAACCATCAACATCAATTTGAAAATAGTTTTTTTTTTAAAGATATATGGAAACCATTTTCGTCTCAATAGTATTCTTAATTTCAAGTTCTCCAGAATATATGAAATGTAGGTACTCAATGGGAAAAAACGGTGATCAAATGAAAAGGAGAAATCATCAATACGAATGAATTTGAAAATAAATCACGACGAATAACGAAACACAACACAGTCAGCAAACCCAAGATTGTATGTTAATTGCGAGTAAAAATCAGGTAAATATTATCATGTAGGCCTACTTACAGAATGAGTCGTTGTCTTTAAGTACTGATTTCAATGATGTTTTTGTACAGTCGCATGCTTCTGATACTACTATAGTACTGATGATAACTAAGACGAACACTGATAACTTGTACATTTTCCTTCTACAAATAAATAGAACAACTATAATTAACTATAATGTGACTTCCATTTATATATTTTAATGAAATTATTATATATATATACATATTTTGATATTTACAAAAGAAAGTTGGAGTAAATACGGACAACACAATGCCAAGAAGAATCAAAGTACTGAAGTACTGAACATCGGATGACTGCAAGTTCTTGTCTCAGAAAAAAAATCACATCTCTATACCTGAAAGTGAGGTTAAGGTACATAGAATAGATATACTTTTTTCTGAGACAAGATCGTGCGTGGATGATGAATAAATGACAGGGAATTCAACCACACCGTAATAACTATTATATTGTAGTGATACAAATCAGTATACTCTGGTTTGTTGTTATATATTACGTTAATATTTGTGTATAACAGTTACATGTTACATGTATATATAATTTTCATCCATTTGTATATCATTTTCTACTATTCTTATAATAGTGCGGTGCAAGTGCATGGTGGACACTCTTCTGTAATAATTCGATTTTTCTAATAGATTGGACTTGAGTAGGCATTCATATTTTCCCGCAAAACGTTCTTGAGATATTCTTCCGCATTCGTTAACACAAATTTTCGGTATTCTTGATTTGTTATTGATATATATATATATTTCTCACGATAAAACATTTTCATATCAATTATCTATGTTCTTAAAAATTATTTTCATGAATATTTATTGATGAAATTGATATATAACAAGCTATAAGGAATGTTATTTTGCGTTCGGTTATCAGTCAAAAACGAAAGTTGCGTGGGTAGAAATGTCTGTGGCAACAATACATCGGAATGCCCTCACGGTCATCCGATGTAAAAATGACAAACGCACAATAAGAATTCACAAATCACTAAACAGAAAACAAAAGACGAGCACCATGAACCCCGTATATAATCGAATGTAAACTCTGGTTCCTAAAAAGGGTAGATAGTTCAAGCTCCACTCGTTGTGCCCGTCCTGCGTCTTTTTGCTCACTTCAAGTAAAAACCCGATTATGATAAGTCACATTCAGTGATGTCATCAATGAGAAAACGACTGGTGGTTTTTCAGGTTTCCGAAATCATGTAAATCATTTTTTCTGATTTTTATTTGTCATTTGTGCAAACATTTATGAAAATAAAATATTGTTTAAACTGAAAAAAAAAGCTCCAACGAAAACATTTTTAACTTTAGAGTACAGAAGACGAGAAAAACATCAACTATGATTATCCAGTAACAAGGTTTTAAAAGATATGGGAACACTGAAATTCGAAATAAAAAAACAATTATACCTAAATCATGTAACTATGTTCTATAACCTATGGGCACTCTGAAATTAGAAATTAACAAGAAGGTTTCCTTTGTATGATAATAATGGCGGACAAGGTACTATCATGTCACGTTCATGTACTACAAGTCTTGTTACACTATTAAGATGCACAAGTTAATACATTTATCATAGAATTGTGAGGTATACATATGTTAAGTAAAATAATGGTGCTCGCCATCAGTTGACGAAAACAGTTGTAATCCTGATATAAATTCAACTTTTAGTTCAGTTTCAACTTTGTAAGTCAGAGAAAAACAAATTGGATGCCTAGTATTTTATCGTGTTGCATTCAAGCATTTAAATCAAGTTTTGCTTATAACGAACCCGATCGAATGTCACCCGTCTTTTACCCTTTATATACCTGAAAATATATGCGCGAATATGTAGATTAAACGGGAGCATGCAAAGCATTCTAGTGGACATTGCAGCGTCGATATTAAAGCCCATTAATTTTGAGCGCAGTATTAATCCATTAATCTGTATTTTCTGAAGCCAATTTCAGCAAAAACTAATACCTTCAAGCAAAAATTAATGTTGGTTTCTTTTTTTTAAATAGAGAGAATAATCAAAAACCGTAAGTCGGAAAAAAACGGACAACACCATGACCAAACAGAAAACCGACGAAAAGACAAGCAACAGTCCAAAAATCTAAATAGTTGTTTATATATATATTTTGTTGAATATGGGAAATGATAAAACTAATACATGTGTTAAAAATAACATTAAATTCAGACAAGATACTCACGTTTTGTCCTTAATTCTTTGTGAGGTGACGGTTATTCTGTCCGTGCCCTAACGCGTCAACTTATAAATGGTGCAGCTATTATGATGAGTATTGACAAAGATACACCTACACAAATGAATATAAAGCAATATTACATCAACACTTCAAATACAGATGTTATATATTTGCATTGATAAATCTGCTTACAATTTAAATATTCATCTGATAAACTAAAAAGGTATCAAATTTAAATGACGTGACTATAATAAGGAATATAATAAATGTACCAAACTTAAAACATTCAATAGTTAAAATCAATGCACCACGAATCTGTCTAACTTTGTTTGGCCAAATGATGATGACTGTGAGACTTTTTATCAGTTTGATCTATCGTAACTTATGAAAATACCAAAATCAAAGATCTATACTTGAATTATAGATTGACTTTTTATACAATTAATTTTATACAGATCGATGGGGACAACAGGCAGATGAGTAATACTAACGAATATAGTGCAAGTAGTTAATAACTTCATATACTATTTGCCAGTGGGTGTGTTGCAAACAACATTAAATCAATTCATTTGAACAACTGTCAAAGTTCTTGATAGAAACCCTTTACAGTTACTTTTATATGCATATGCTCCTAATGCCGACATAGACTTCTCTACATTCCTATATTTGACGGTTGTCACATGTGTGATCATGTGTAGTAGTATCTCCTAACGGTTACAAGGAAGTAATTATTTACATAGGCGACATTGGTAGCCTTTTTTGGTCCTGCGTTTTCGCTATCAAAGATCCATTGAAAAAAATGTCGAAATCTGAATTATCAACACCTTTGGGTGTAATTGAAACTGCAAAATACATATGGTGCCGCAGCTTTTTTGATAGAAAAATGGCATTTTTTAGGGTACTCAACGGTTCCGGAATTGTCGAAATAGTATAAATGAAGAACACTCCTTGCTAACTTTGGCACAGACAATGTTTCTCGTCACAGAGAGTTTCTCTAAATTTCTCGCTATTTCTACACCAATGGCCAACACTCATTTCTCACTGTTTCAATTTTGATTTCTAATTACTAGGGCAGCAGAAAATAAATTTACTTCTACCTATTATCATGGATGTGAAATCTAGGTGGCGCCAATCATCTTTATTTACTTCCTTTTAACCTAGCCTTTCCGTGGCACCAGAGATTACCCCCGCGTTCTGTTATTCGTGTTCGTTTTATTCAGTCTTTGGTTTTTTACATGTTGTGTTTTGTGGACTGCTGTTTGTCTTATCGTCGGTTTTTTTGCCATGGCGTACGTTGTCAGTTTGTCTTATCGTCGGTTTTTTTGACATGGCGTACGTTGTCAGTTTGTCTTATCGTCAGTTTTCTTGCCATGGCGTACGTTGTCAGTTTGTCTTATCGTCGGTTTTTTTGCCATGGCGTACGTTGTCAGTTTGTCTTCAAGTATTGAATTCTCTTTCGTGAAATATTGCCATTGTATAGCTTTCGATATCACCCATATTTTTTTACTCGCTGAAACCACCAGCAAAAATTGGCGCATAACTATCTGCACGTTTCTTGTGGTATCGGTATTTGTAATGTAAAATCATCGATAAATCCAAAAAGTGCTCAACAATACATTCCAACACTGTCAAGTTACTGGCCAAATACATATAATTTTAAAATACAGTCGAACCAGAGAAAAAATGTTTGAAAGAACGGACGAACATATGGAGTATGTGAATTTAGTAAGTCCGCTAACCACCCCCCTCTAGAGTAGTGTATCATGACATAGTAAGGAACCGGTGTTTCCTCTACCATGGGCATTATACACACAACAATCAATGGTCTCGGTTGCCGAGTGGTCTAAGTACTTCAACTTCTGTATCACTAGGATGTCAACAATAAGCGGTTGTGAGTTCGAAACCCCCACATGCCAGGTAAAGAGTGCTCTCGATTCTAAAACCCCCACATGCCAGGTAAAGAGTGCTCTCGATTCTAAAACCCCCACATGCCAGGTAAAGAGTGCTCTCGATTCTAATCTTAAGGTAGATGGGGGGTCTTAATTTAAATCCATAGAATTTTTTGATAATTTGTCAAAATGAAGTTTATATCATGCTTTTTTTTTAAATATAATAAAAAGTATGGGTCACCGCGCTATTTTTCACGCCACTGGTTGAGCAAAATTGTCAGATTTTGTATAGATTATGCATGGAAATCGCAAGTTTGGGTGATAAAAAGAAAACTACACCATAGAATTTTAAGATAAAATATGAGAATATAGCTCTAATAATATGCTTTCAGGTAAGAAAAAGAAAAAATGGGGTCACGGAACTCGTTTTCTTGCTACATAATAAAATAGGTAAATTCACAACACATTCTATTACAAAAGTTACTTTATCGAGTTATCTCCCCTTGTATCTGAGTTGTCTACCCTTATATGGCAAAATTTAAAAAGCTGAATAAAACAAAAATAATCTGATTTTTGTAAAATACAGCCGTAAATATGATAAAACACATAATATTCTTTATTAAAATGAAAAGTTTTACTCATGAATTACATACTTCTCTCGAAATTTGCTAATTTCATTAAAGATCTAGGTTTTTTTTCCGGGCACTCAGGCCTGCTATTTCCGTCAATAAAAACCGACCACAACCTGGGACTATTATACTAACAATACATAATAGTTAGTATAATAGTCCCAGCCACCACGAAATTGAAAGTGGCGTATATTATGCATTCCTGTAATCAGAATTATACATAGGCGGATCCAAGGGGCCCTGCGGGGCCCGCCCCCCCCCCCCCCCCCCCCCCCCCCCCCTTATGAAAAGTTCTGGATCCGCCACTGTTATATTACCCATTTTTTTTTCTACAGTTATTTTTATTCTTTTGTACCCTATTATTCTCTATTGATTACGTTTTTTGCTCATTTTTTCTCTGTTCATTATTTTTTTTTTTTTTGCCATTACTCTCTATTCTGTGACCCTTATAAAAAAAAATCAGCATGACCGCGGTAGAGATGCACAATTTTCTATCAGTTCGTCTTTTTTTTTTTTTCTTTTTCTTTAAAAGAAGAAGATGATGGTTATTTATATTATATATAAATAATCTGTCTTTTCTTGACATTTTTTGTATCGTTTCGGTAAGTTCCGTTCCGTCTTTTCTTGTTGTGTTTCGTTCGTTTCGTTCGTTTCATATTTTTTTAATCGTATCGTGTTGGCTTGGTCCGAGTTATATTTGTTCCGATTTGTCTTGATTCCAACCGGAACGTCCTAGATATTAACACGGTGAACATTTTTCTTTTTTGTGTGAATCAAGTTCCAAGGCTATTTTAGAATAACTGGAAACAGTGTTTATGATGCAATGACACATATTGATATGGTGAGAATATACTCGGGTAATGAATTTAAGTGTTGTCATAAAAAGGGCCCCCCTTTTGTGGGAAAAATTCGGTTGATTATTTACATGATTTAGGGAACCACTAACATGACTAAAGCATGACTGGAGCGGCCACCCTCTTTGTCAGTCAGTGCCCCCTCCCCCTCATGAAAATTTCTGGATCCGCCACTGTTGTCCTGTTTTCATACGATTCCCAAAAGAAAATGTCAAACGAAAATATTTTTCTACTGTAACCATGGTAACAACATTTTTATTTATCCTGCAATCGACCTTTCTACTATACCAATACAGGTGTACAGATAACACGAAGCGATATATATATATATATATACTAGATGTATATAGTCTCCTGGTATCCTACTTCTATTGCGAGCGAACAGTTATGTCAAATTACTGTTTACATGTACGTCACAGTTCAATTTGGGGTCCTCATTGCGGTCCGCGTTTAAGTCATGTCGATTTCTTTCAAAAACAAATTCAACGATTGGGATGGGGAAAAATGTACAAATTTAATTGCAGAATAAAGACAATAGCTGTTTAGTGTCTTTTGATATCAGCTAATTTTTATTTCAGCTGTATTTGTACTCAGCTCGAAACAGGAGTAATAGCTCGCTGAAGCTCGCATTACACCTGTTTCTTAGCTTTGTACAAATACAGCTGATAAATAAAGACACTAAACAGTTATTGTCTATGCCCCTGTCATAGCGAAGGGGGCATTAAGTGTAACCAATGCCGTCCTGTCTGTTCGGTACCAGCGAACGTCCTGAAAATTGGTGTCTGTTCTCTAACTTTAGTTTGCCTAAACTAATTGGGTGGCGTCACTTTTACCATTCCTTGTTTATCCTTAGTTACACCCTTTATAAACATAAAAATTGCTGAATTTTTCGTTTCCGTTCTCTAACTTTAGTTTGCCTCAACCAAATGTTATAACACTTATACACAATGCTTATTAGAGCCCTGCCAAATGGTGGGGCGCTCTAAAGTGATCAGTCTCATTACTTCTGTCTGTCCATCTGTCCGTCTGTAACAAATTGTGTCCACTCTATATCAATAGAACAGTTATGATTTCATACTTTATACTTGACATGTATATTAACCAACAACAGAGGGTATACATGTCATAATGTTTGTACAACTTCCTAAGTCAAAGGTCAAGGTCAGAAACTTTGGTTTCAGTTGACAACCCCATTTCCTATGGTAAAGATCGTGTCCGTTCTTATATCTTGAGAACCTTTATGATTTCAAAGTTTCTACTTGACATGTATATTAACCAATACAAGAGGGACTCAGTCTTCACGCTGAGTGGCAGCCCAGGCAGCCCAGGCTTGTAATATTGCTCTCGGGCCTGTAAAAATCATATCTACAAGCCAACAGAATCTAACTAAAAATTTTCAAAAATTGAGCTCCGGGGCCTGTAGATTTAGCAGTTCATCTTGAAGACTGAAGGGTGTGTCATATTATATGTACAACTTCCTAGGTCAAAGGTCAAGGTCAAAAACTTTGGTTTCAGTTGACAACCCCATGTCCTATGGTAAAGATTGTGTCTGCTCTATATCTTGAAAACCGTAATGATTTCAAAGTTTATACTTGACATGTATATTAACCAACACCAGAGGGTATGTCATAATGTATGTACAACTTCCTAGGTCAAAGGTCAAGGTCAAAAACTTTGGTTTCAGATGACAACTCCATGTCCTATGGTAAAGAAACTATTTTTTTACCACATGTTATTCACAGAGGGGTCCACAGAGATGGCTCCCATCTCAATGATGTCTAGTTACCACAAAATACAGATCAAGTTCGAAATTGGGTGGAGTCACTTTTACCGTTTATGAGTAACGCCCCTTTATAAACATAAAAATTGCTGAATTTTTGGTTTCCGTTCTCTTATTTTAGTTTGCCTAAACCAAATGTTATAATACATATACACAATGCTTATTACCACAAAATACAGATCAAGTTCGAAATTGGGTGGCATCACTTTAACCTTTCATCATGTTCATGAGTTGTGCTCCTTTATCAACATAAAAATTGCTGAATATTTGGTTTCCATTCTCTAACTTAAGTGTGCCTCAACCAAATGTTATAAAACTTATACACAATGCTTATTACCACAAAAAACAGATCAAGTTCGAAATTGGGTGGCATCACTTTTACTGTCATGAGTTATGCCCCTTTATAAACATAGAAATTGCTGAATTTTCATTTCCATTCTCTAACTTTAGTTTGCCTGAACCAAATGTTATAAAACTTATACACAATGCTTATTACCACAAAACACAGATCAAGATTGAAATTGGGTGGCTTCACTAATATACCGTTCTTGAGTTATGCATGCCCCTTTATAAATGGAAATCTGTCGTTATCGTTCTTTAACTTTAGTTTGCCTCAACCAAATATTATGAAACTTATACACAATGCTTATAACATGTATAATCACAAAACGATCTTAACTACATGAATCCTGCATCTGTGTGTGGAAGTTGACTCATGCATATTTACAAGAGGGGGCATCTGTGGCCCATAGACACATTCTCCATTTATTTTTAATCCACATTTTAACTGGCACTGTTTGGCATTTCAACATGTTCAATAAATGAATAGTCCTAAATTGATTATAAATTGAGAAATTAAAAGCCTATGAAATCTTCAAAAGATTGAAATATATATTTTAAAGATACATTTTTCTGCTCTTTGGTCGGGTTGTTGTCTCTATGACACATTCCCCATTTCCATTCTCAATCTTATCAAACCCAAAATCATACATGTAATAAGTTTTTTGGGGGAAATATTGTTCCATTTCTATAAATAAGTGTCATTTAAAGTAAAAAGACTCGGCTATAAAATTTAATTTTTAATATAAAAATAAGATGTGGTAAATATAAGATCAGATAAGATATTAGTATAAAATCCAAACAATCGGATTCCTACTAAATACAAAAACAGATAAACAATAAACAATACAAATATGTAACCTTTACAAATAATATTAAAATGTTAGATGACATGCCTCCCCTAAGGGCCCTTTATATTATCTTCATTCATATTTAGATTATGGTAAAGAAAAAAGATATATACATGTAAAATCAAGTTCATAGTCAACTTTATACACAATTTCTAACATTGTTTCTGTAATTAAACATCTCATTTATGCCATAAACAATTATCATCAAAATGTCATATTCTTTATCATGTTTATAAGAGAAAATAAAGTATAATTTTTCCCATTACTCATCATGCTCATTAAAATAAAACTAGGAACGTTAACAATATCATAAATTTCATTAAACATTTTCATTCTAGAGTAATTGAGTTATGTACATATTATTGCAAAATAGAATTCATCTTCCACCTCTATATTACATCATGTACATAGGGGGCACAATCTATTTTCTAAAGCTGTTTTATTATACCTACCATGTTCAATAGCTACATGTAGCGTGCTGTTACTGATTCTTATTTTGTCATAATTTTTAATAACATTTTTATCTAAATCTAATAAAACATATTTTTCAAGTTCATACTTTACTTTAAATTTTCTATAAGTTCTTAACTTATAAATTTGAATTCATTGAATTGTCATCATTAAAAGAGCTATTTTTCCAAAATGTGTTGTAACTTTCCTTAAGCTTCTTCGCTCAAGCTGAAAGTAATTGTTTTTTAGAAAAAGTATGTTGATTTTCCCAAACATGAGAAAATTTTATTTCAAGAATAAAATTTTGATTTTTGAAACAAATCCATCAGGTAGTTGCTGGTTAACTTTATCATGTTTATAAACTTTATATAGTAAAGACTCCTTTGAGTTTAAAATATGCAGCCAGGATCCTACAGAAGACTTAAGAGCTTGAATACCAATAGGGAACATTCCTAATACAGCTAATACAGCTATGTTACTGCCTTAGAATTAACTCTAATTAGACTCTCTACAAATTTGATTTGAAGTTTTACTGATTCCATTGATAAATGCTGTGACTCAAGTATTCTGTTGTTCTTTACAATACTAAGTGACCATATTTCACAACAATAAAGCATAATTGGACTAACACAAGAATGTGGTATGACTGGGACTATTATACTATAATTATACCCCCTCTTTAAAAAAAAGTGGGGGTATATTGTTTTACCTCTGTCCGTCCATCCGTCAGTCCATCCATCAGTCCGTCTGTCCGTCCCATGGATATTTTCGTTGCATCCTTTTCAGGAACTACATTATAAAAATTTCTTAAATTTGGTTTCAGGGTGTATATTAGTCAGCTATACTGTGTGATGCATTTTCAGATTCATCACTCAACAACTTCCTGTTTACCGAACACTTGTATAATTTTACACATGATAGCCAAGTTGAAAAATTTCGTCACATTTTTCTCAGGAACTACAATACAAGGATTTCTGAAATTTGGTTTCAGGGTTTATATAAGTCATCTATACCGTGTGATGTGTTTTCAGATTCATCACTCAACAACAAATGCATATTTGGGAGGGGGTATCATCAGTGAGCAGAAGCTCGCGGTTTCACTTGTTTATTATGCCCCAAGGTATGATTGTCATTAAGACAACTCTCCAGCAGAGACCAAGTGACAGAACTTAACAACTACCGTCACTATAGGTCACTGTATTGCCTTCAACTATGAACAAAACTGATACCTCATTGCCAGCTATAAAACACCCTGAAATGACAAATGTAAATCATTAAAACGAGAAAACTACCTGCCTGATTTATGTACAAAGCAATGAAAGAAAAATAAATAAGTTGTATACAGCAACAAACGACAACCTCTAGTTGCAGGATCCTGACTTGGGACAGTTGTCTCTGGATACTCCGTCTTCCTCCTCTAATAAGAAACTTAGTGAACACTATGTTTGATTGGTCTCCATTTTTAAAAAGGCCACTAAAATACATAAAAAATATTTAAAAGGCAGGGATTTCAGAGAAATTTGAATGCTTCATTTGTACATGGCAAAGGTGATGTGAAAAAAATAAGATAACCTTTTGTTTCTGCATTTCTGAACAAAATACTTTCTTCTATATGTACTTGATGTACTGGATAGTACAAAGCCATAAAGATTACATCTCAGCTTTTGTACAAACATGGTGCTTCTTAAATTTTAATGATTATCTTCTCTTATTCAGAATGCAGGCCAGTTGGAGAAAATAAAAGGCAGAGAAGAAAATTTACAAAGAACATGAAGAAAATAAATGTCCGGCACCAAAATACAGATAGTTCCATAAATGTCTGAGAAGTCTCCCTATATACATCATACATGTATAAGACTATTGTAGAATACAGGTCAGATCATAAAGCAACACACCAGATTTCATACTTGAGGAAATAATCATATGTGTACATTGTGATAAACTAGTGTTGAAAGTTAGATGCACATGTGAGAACACATTGTCAAATGTGATATATGTGATCAAAGTTTTAGTTAAAATCATGTCACAGACACACAAAAGAACACACAGTGGGGATCAATCTATGTGTGATGTATGTGGTAAAAGATTTAGTCAGAGGGGTCACTTACAGAGACACATGAGAACACACACAGGTGATAAGCCTTTTAAATGCGATGAATGTGATAAAGAATTTTTACAAAAATGTGACATAGAGAAACACATGAGAACACATACTGGAGATAAACCTTATAAATGTGATGTATGTGGGAAAAAGTTTAGTATGAGTCAGCACTTAAAGGGGCACACGAGGATACATACTGGTGATAAGCCCCATGAATGTAAAGTTTGTGGTAAAGGGTTTAGTACAAGTCAGAACTTACATAGACATGGGAAAATACACACTGGATATAAACCTTATAAATGTGGAGATTGTGGAAAAGACTTTAGTAGGGAGCAACACTTGAAAAGACACATTAATACACATACTGGCGATAAACCTTTTAAATGCAGTGTATGTGGAAGAGGGTTTGGTGAAAGTGGGAACTTACAGAGACACATGAGAACACACACTGGTGATAAACCTCATAAATGTGAGAAATGTGATAAAGAATTCATTCAAAGTAATGACTTACAAAAGCACATGAGAACACACACTGGTGATAAACCTTATAAATGTGATGTTTGTGGAAAATGGTTTAGTCAAAGTACTAGCAGAGATAAACATGTACGGACACACACTGGTGATTAACCATAACCTTGTAAATGTGTATGTTGTGTATTTACATTTTGTGCAGTAAAGAAATCAGTCGGAGTCATAGCAGAGAGACACACACTAGTTATAAGTTTTTGAGGTTTAGGGTTTTGTTAGTTTTAATTTACAGCCTCACGTGAGAATCATCATAAAATGTGGCAAATGTGATAAAGGGCTTGGCTAGCGACATGATTTTCAGAGACGCATGAGACTGCACACTGACCGTGTTTAACTTTATTCATGTTATTTTATAGTTGATAAATCATTGTCACAATCAAATGATTTCAAAAGTCAACAATTGTTTTATCATATTATTTTTTATTTATCCATCAATTTTCTAGAAGATGTTCCGTGTTCTTTATACACTTTATATATTATCTGCTTTGACAGTTGCTAAATTTTAATAGTCATGTAAGTTGAAATATTGAATTAAATTTTCTCAAACAAATTAAATTAAAAAAAGAAGAAGAAAAAAAAAGAATTTTAATGACGTCATAAACCTACATTTTTGAGGTTTTCTAGGAAAAATTCTATTTAAAGGTCTATATTTATATGTTAGCTGTTCTAAATCTCATACTAACCTCTAATGCTTTTTTCTGCTGTGAATATAATGTTTGATCAAAGAAGATTCCCTATGTTTTCAGCCAATTAGAAAAGAGAATTTTTACATTCATCATTGTTCATATATTAATGATATTTATTGCTTCTCTCTAAGGCTTGCAAGCTACCGGTACATGTAGGAGTAAGAGTAAATACTTTGTGTGGGGTAGGGTGATATATTTGCATACTCACATTACATTAACATGCTAGAATTCTGGTTTCATGTAATATTTGCCACTGAACAATAACCATTACTCCATCATGATAATCATCTTCAATGTCAGAGCCAGAATTTACTAATGTAGTGTTTATGTTGGAAGTGCCACAGCAAAAAATTCACATTAAAACACAAGAATATATGTTGGAGAAAAAGTAAACTTTTCTCTCTGCTTTAAAAAAAAAATTGAAAAGGAAAAAAGGAATGGCTATATGGTCATTTTGAGATATTATTTAATAAAAATTTTGATATGTATACATGATTTGTCATTGGCCTCGATGAATATTATATCTCTTGGGTTAATAAATCATTGTATCAACCTCATCAAAAGTCAATAATTGTATTATGTCATTAAAAGTATGTAACGTATTATGATGTCATTAAAAGTATGTAATATATTATAATGTCATTAAAAGTATGTACATGTATTGAAATGTCATTAAAGTATGTACATGTATACATGGTATAATGTCGTTGAAAGTATGTATCACAAAAAAGTATAAACAAAAACACGAAACTCCAAGGCAAATTCAAACAGGGGAAGTCCATAAAAAGGTGACAAAACATGAAAAGCAATATTATCAATCAACAAAACAAGTGAAAACGACTGCCTGACTTGGTACAGACATTTTTGACATTTCAGTGGTAAATTCATTTAAGTAAACCATGATAAATATGACTTATGTACTTTATAAATGTATATACAGTGTGTGCATAAAAATAAGATGTTGTGGTATGATTGTCAATTAGATGTTGTGGTATTATTGTCAATAGGATATTATGGTATGATTGTCAATAGGATGTTGTGGTATGATTGTCAATAGGATGTTGTGGTATGATTGTCAATAGGATGTAGTGGTATGATTGTCAATAAGATGTTGGGGTATGATTGTCAATAGGATGTTGTGGTATTGTTGTCAATAGGATGTTGTGGTATGATTGTCAATAGGATGTTATGGTATGATTGTCAATAGGATGTTGTGGTATGATTGTCAATAGGATGTTGTGGTATGATTGTCAATTGGATGATGTGGTATGATTGTCAATAGGATGTTGTGGTATGATTGTCAATAGGATGTTGTGGTATGATTGTCAATAAGATGTTATGGTTTGATTGTCAATTGGATGGTGTGGTATGATTGTCAATAGGATGTTGTGGTATGATTGTCAATAGGATGTTGTGGTATGATTGTCGATAGGATATAGTGGTATGATTGTCAGTAGGCTGTTGTGGTATGATTGTCAATTAGATGTTGTGGAATTATTATCACTAGGATGTTGTGGTATGATTGTCAATAGGATGTTGTGGTATGATTGTCAATTGGATGATGTGGTATGATTGTCAATAGGATGTTGTGGTATGATTGTCAATAGGATGTTGTGGTATGATTGTCAATAGGATGTTATTGTATGATTGTCAATAGGATGTTATGGTATGATTGTCAATAGGATGTTATGGTATGATTGTCAAAAGGATGTTGTGGTATGATTGTCAATAGGATGTTGTGGTATTATTGTCAATAGGATGTTATGGTATGAATGTCAATAGGATGTTGTGGTATGATTGTCAATAGGATGTTGTGGTATGATTGTCAATAGGATGTAGCGGTATGATTGTCAATAGGATGTTGGGGTATAATTGTCAATAAAGTTGTGGTATGATTGTCAATAGGATGTTGTGGTATGATTGTCAATAGGATGTAGCGGTATGGTTGTAAATAGGATGTTGGGGTATAATTGTCAATAAAGTTGTGGTATGATTGTCAATAGGATGTTGTGGTATTATTGTCAATAGGATGTTGTCATATGATTGTCAAAAGAATGTTGTGGTATGATTGTCAATTGGATGGTGTGGTATGATAGTCAATAGGATGTTGTGGTATTATTGTCAATAGGATGTTGTCATATGATTGTCAAAAGAATGTTGTGGTATGATTGTCAATTGGATGGTGTGGTATGATTGTCAATAGGATGTTGTAGTATGATTGTAGATAGGATGTTATGGTATGATTGTCAATAGGATCTTGTGGTATGATTGTCAATAGGATGTTGTGGTATGAATGTCAATGGGATGTTGTGGTATGAGTGTCGATATAATGTGATTGCCAATAGGATGTTGTGGTATTATTGTCAATAGGATGTTGTGGTATGATTGCCAATAGGATGTTGCGGTATGAGTGTCAATATGATGTTGTGGTATAAGTGTCAATAGGATGTTGTGGTATGATTGTCGATAGGATATAGTGGTATGATTGTCAGTAGGCTGTTGTGGTATGATTGTCAATTAGATGTTGTGGAATTATTATCACTAGGATGTTGTGGTATGAGGGTCAATAGGATGTTGTGGTATGATTGTCAATTGGACGTTGTGGTATGATTGTCAAATGACAATAGGATAATGTGGTATGATCGTCAATAGGATTAGGATGTTGTGGTATGATTTTCAATATGATGTTGTTACATGATTGTCAATAGGATGTTGTGATATGATTGTCAATAGGATGTTGTGGTATGATTGTCAATAGGATGTTGTGGTATGATTGTCAATAGGATGTTGTGGTATGAATGTCAATAGGATGTTGTGGTATGAGTGTCGATAGAATGTGATTGCCAATAGGATGTTGTGGTATGATTGTCAATAGGATGTTGTGGTATTATTGTCAATAGGATGTTGTGGTATGATTGCCAATAGGATGTTGTGGTATGAGTGTCAATATGATGTTGTGGTATAAGTGTCAATAGGATGTTGTGGTATGATTGTCGATAGGATATAGTGGTATGATTGTCAGTAGGCTGTTGTGGTATGATTGTCAATTAGATGTTGTGGAATTATTATCACTAGGATGTTGTGGTATGAGGGTCAATAGGATGTTGTGGTATGATTGTCAATTGGACGTTGTGGTATGATTGTCAAATGACAATAGGATAATGTGGTATGATTGTCAATAGGATTAGGATGTTGTGGTATGATTTTCAATATGATGTTGTTACATGATTGTCAATAGGATGTTGTAATATGATTGTCAATAGGACGTTGTGGTATGATTGTCAATAGGATGTTGTGGTATGATTGTCAATAGGATGTTGTGGTATGATTATCAATAGGATGCAGTGGTATGATTGTCACTAGGATGTTGTGTTATGATTGTCAATAGAATGTAATGGTATGATTGCCAATAGAATGTTGTGGTGTGATTGTCAATAGGATGTTGTGGCATGATTGCAAATTAGACAAATATCCACCAGAGACCAAAGGAAGTGGATTTTAGCAAGTATAGGTTATAGTGCATCTGTAACAATAAGTAAAACCCATAACAATCAGTCAGCTATAAAAGAGGGTCTGTATTGGGTTTACAGAATAGAGAATAATTGGCATACGGAGCAGAATAGTTGTTTATAAATATAAAGAAATGAGAATAATGGGGTGCTGAAATATAAAGAAAAGAGAATAATGGTAAAAAAAGAGTGAATAATAGAGAAAAAATACCTTAATAATTAAGGAATACTAAAAAGAAGGATCCCCATCCAGACCCTTATAAAAGGACTCGACCTGACAAATGTGGAAAAAAAACTCAATTCAAATAAGAAAACAAACAGCCTGACAGACTTATGGTCAAACAATAAACGAATAATGAGGGATGTGGGATAGATACGTCAATGCGACAACAATTCAAAGGCACAACAAAACAAACCCAACAAGACAAATTTTCAGCACCCCATTATTCTCTATTCTTTATATTTGGCCTACTATTCCGGTCCCTTAATTTGCCAATTATTCTCTATTCTGTATACCCAATACAGACCCTCTTTTATAGCTGACTATATGTTATGGGTTTTACTTATTGTTACAGATGCACTATTCCCTATACTTGCTAAAATCCACTTCCTTTGATCTCTGGCAATTTCGGTTTCTTGGACATTTCGAAAAACATATTTAACTTTTTTGTTTTAAAAGATAAACGCAAGTGGATTTTTGCAAAAGCATCTGGAATATATTTTCTATATAAGCGTGCTTTGTATTTTTGACTGATTTTTATCATTCAAACTGATTTAACTTGAAAAACAAGTTTATGGGCCCCTCTTTTTAAAAATGACGTTTGGCTTGATTATGTATGACAATTATTTGTGCCAAATTTAATGAACAAATCACCGATGAAATTTTTTTGAAATTAGATAAATACAGCAAAAATGCCGTTCTTTGACTAAAACAATGAAAATGTGGTAAAAATGAATAATTTCCTAAGGTCAAATTGTTTCAAAAATTCAAAGCACAGTACGTATATAGAAAATATATTCCAGATGCTTTTGCAAAAAATCCGCTTGCGTTTATCTTTTAAAAAAAAAAAGTTTAAAATATGTTTTTAGAAATGTCCAAGTAAATGTCTAAAATTTTGACCCCATTTATCTCTAAAAATAGCACATGAAGGGAAATTAATTTCTAATTACATATCTGAATTGACCTGGTGAAAAATAGCTTAATTGTAAGAAAACTTTCATCAAATATT